GTCAAGGGAGCCATAGGAATATGGAAACTTGTGAGCCATCTAGACCATGAGCTGAGGAATCAGAGTTAGCAGGCAAAGAAACTGGGACAAAGCCAAAATGTGCTAAGTCTTGAGTAGAGAAAATAGCCCCTTTAAGAGTGAAGCAGTGAATCCGTTCCTTCTGTTAAATTGTTTTAACCACCACCCTGTTGTCTCTTGATTATAGTTATTTCTGTTTTAGTAGTTTTTATTTTATTTTATTTGGTACTTATAAAAACTCCAATGATTATTTTCTCACCTTCTTCTAAACAGGAAGGATCACATACATAACGCAGCGAGCAACTGTTTGCCATTAGATTGAACCTACTGTTCCTGAGGAACATTGTCAAGACAGTAGGGAACGTTTGACCAGACAGTTCATTTACTAACTTTTCTTCTCATTTTCATTCTTTATAAACAGTGATAAAACAATAATTAGCACTCTTTCCTCGTGGGAACGATAATTTGGGCATTAATACTCCCTTTATTACTTGAAACGTGCACTTGCGCACTTGGGTTGGAACTAAGGGACGAATCTGTGTTCTGCAAGAACAGAGGAACGTCCCCTATCAGAACTTATATTTTTCCACCATCAGCAAACCACCCAACAGTGAACATCAAAGTGGTGTCCTGTAGGCTGTTCTGTAAGCCCATAATGCCTCATCTAGTTTGAGGGACCAATCTTTCCTAGAAGGATTAACAACCTTCTCTAGAATTCTCTTAACCTCTCGGTTAGAGACTTCAATAAGCTCACTGGTTTGAGGATGATATGGAGTTGCAACCTTGTGTCTTACTCCATATTTCTCCACCAACCTCTCAAATTGGTGATTGATAAAGTGCTTCCACCATCACTGATAATGCAGCGAGGTGTTCCGTATCTTGTCAAAACATTTTTCTTCAAAAACCTCACCACAACTTTGGCATCATTAGTAGGTAGAGCAACAACTTCTACCCACTTGCTTACATAATCTACAACCATTAAAATAAATTTGTTCCCACAAGAGGGAGGAAATGGATCCATAAAATCAATGCCCCAAACCTCAAACAATTCAACTTCTAGTATAGAATTAAGATGCATTTCATTCTATTTGGTTATGTTTCCTTCCATTTGGCATTTATCACCTTGATTAGGATATTGAAGGGCATCTTTAAAAAGAGAGGGCCAATAGAAATCTGATTGAAGCTATTTGGATGTAGTCCTGATTCCTCCTAGATGTCCTCCATTTGGGGAGGAATGATAGTGGAAAAAGATTTGAGCTTGTTCTTCTTCTAGAACGTACCTCCTTATCATTTGATCTGCACATCTTTTGAACAACAAAGTTTTATCCCATAAGTAGCTCCTGTAATCATGAAAAAATTTCTTCTTTTGCATTTTATTTGCTTCATAAGGTTTTATCCCTGCTGCAAGAAAATTAGCAATGTCAGTAAACCAAGGAACGTTTTTTTCATGGATGACAAATAATTGTTCATCAGGGAACGTCTTCTTGATAGGCAGACCAACTTCAGTGTGTTCCAATCTAAAGAGTTGATCTGCAATATAATTTTCACAACCTTTTCTTTCTCTGATTTCTAGATTGAACTCTTGTAATAGCAAAATGCATCTGATTAAATGAGGCTTTGCTTCTTTCTTGGAAAACAGGTATCTAAGAGATGCATGGTCCGTATGAACAGTGACTTTGGACCCCAGAATGTATGGCATGAATTTTTTGCAGGCATATACTACAGCCAGTAGCTCCTTTTCAGTAACTGTGTAATTCAATTGAGCTTCATTCAAAGTTTTACTGGCATAGTATATGCTACAAAATAGTTTATCCTTCCTCTGGCCCAGAACTACCCCTATAGCTTGATCACTTGCATCACACATTAGTTTAAAGGGTAAGGTCCAATCTAGAGATTGGATGACAGGTGTAGTGATTAACTAACTCTTTAAAGCTTCAAAAGCTTTCAAACATTCAGGGCTGAATTCAAATTTAATCTTTTTCCAACAACTGAAAAAGAGGTCTAGCTATTTTGGAAAAATCTTTGATAAATCTTCTGTAGAAACCAGCATGCCCAAGAAAAGATCTAAGACTTTTAACATTAATAGGGGGTGGCATTTTGGCTATAGCTTCTACTTTGGCTTGGTCAACTTCCAATCCATTCTTGGAGATCTTACGTCCTAAGACAATTCCTTCTTTTACCATAAAATGGCATTTCTCCCAGTTAAGAACCAGATTAGAAGAGAGACATATTTGTAACACTTCTTCTAAATTAATTAGGAAATGATCATATGACGTTCCCAATACTAAGAGGTCATCCATAAATAGCTCCACTCCTTCACCTATCAGATCAGAAAAAAAAAAAACATATGTCTCTAGAATGTTGCTGGGGCATTGCAGAGTCCAAAAGGCATTATTCTGAAGGCAAACATTCCGTATGGACAGGTGAAAGTGGTTTTGTGTTGATCCTCAGGTGCTAGAAAAATTTGATTGTAACCAGAATAACCATCAAGAAAATAGAAATATTTCTTACCTGCTAAGTGATCCAACATCTGATCTGTGAATGGAAGACGAAAGTTGTCTTTCCTTGTGGTAGCATTGAGTTTTCTGTAGTCCTGGAAAATCCTCCAACCTGTGACTTTTCTGACAGGGATTAATTCATTATTTGCATTCAGTTCCACAGTTATGCCTTCTTTCTTAGGAACACATTGAACAAGACTGACCCAATTACTATCTGAGATAGGATATATGATTCCTGCATCTAGCCACTGAATGACTTCCTTCCTTACCACCTCTTTCATGATAGGATTTAATCTCCTTTGATGTTCCACTGAAAAGCTATCAGGGTCTGTCAAAAAAAATTTATGCATACAAAAAGTGGGACTGATACCTTTGAGGTCAGCTATGGTCCAGCTAATAGCTCCTTGATACTTCTTCAGTTTGTTGATCAGAAGTTATTCTTGTTCTTTGGTAAGGAATGAGGAGATGATGACAGGGAGAGTGTTAGCGTTCCCTAAGTATACACACTTCAAATGTTGGGGAAGTGGCTTTAATTCTATATCAGGTGGCTGCTCTGCAGATGGTCTCTTGACTTTTCTTTTTCTTTTTTTGTTTTTTGCAGAGGCTCAGGTGATCTTTCTTGTAGATATGGGATATGTTCCTCTTCCTGTAAACCTTCTTCTTTTTCTGATTATTCTTCAACTGAAGTCAAGTTGATGTGGGTGTCTAACACTGATATCATAGAAAATTCTTCCATGTCTCCTTCATCATCATGAAACTTCATGACTTTCAGAACATTGAACTTAATTTCATCATCATGAACTCTCATGGTGAGTTCCCATTTCTGCACATAGATGACAACTCCTTCAGTTGCAAGGAACGATATTTCCAAAATGATCGGAACGTCAACATCAACTTCATAATCCAGGATAATGAAATTAGTAGGAAAAATGCAGCAAATCCTCTACTTTTCCTTCAGGCTTAACAATAGATTTGTTAGCCATTTGCATTGCAATGTTACAGTAGTAGGCTTTGTTGGTCCTGTGGCAAGTTATTTACAAACTGAGGAGGGCATCAGATTGATGCTGGCTCCCAAGTCATACAAGGCTTTGCCTTGGTAAGTATTCCTTATAACACAAGGGATGGTAAAGCTCCCAGGATCCTGTAACTTTGGTGGAAGTTTACCCAAATATTTGCAGCTTTCCTGTGTCAATGTTACAGTTTCATAGCCTTCCATACGTCTTTTGGAGAGAACGTCTTTCATGAACTTGACATATTTGGGCATCTGCTCCAAAGCTTCCACCAGAAGGATGTTGATGTGAAGTTGCTTCAGGATACTCAGGAATTTTCCAAATTATTTGTCATCCTGCTGCTTTTTCGTTCTTTGGGGGAACGAAACTGTGACTAGCAGATGTTTCTTCTGAAGGGGCTTAACTGCTTGACTTGTTTCGGCTTGAGCTTGCTCATCTGCCAGGGTTCGTTCCTCAAATCCTTGGTTTTCTGTACTTGGGCTAGCTTCCTACTTTTGATGCTGTTTAGGATGTGTAACATCTGGAGATGCCTCAACTGGTTCAACAGGTTCATCATAAGTGCTTCTGGTTATTGACTTAGAAGTGGTTGAGGTTTGTGTAGCAACTCTCCCACTCCTTAAGGTGATTGCTTTGATTTTCTCTGGGGAGGAAGTTGAAGGGACTTCAGTGCCCCTTGGCAGTTTGCCTGGTATTATGGTGTTAAGGCTGGCAGCTATTTGCCCCAGATAAGGCTCAATGTTTCTAACAACTGCATCATTTCTGGTGACATATTCTTTTACATAATTTTCCAATGCACTGATGTGTTGTTCTTCTCTGGGGAACGGAGTAATCTTTGGTCTTCTTTGTTGATCAAATGCTCAATTTCCTTCATTGTTGCTTTGTTGGTACTGTTATTGTTGGTTGTTGTATGGTCTAGGATTGATAGGTGGTCTCCACTGAGGATTATGGTTCTGATCTTTCTGTATAGTGCCTCTAAAATTTGGGTTGTTGTTGCGACCTGCATACTGGTTGTCTCTAGCTTGATTGAAGTTCCTGTTCCCAAAACTTTTTGCATAACACACCAGAGCTGTTGAAGGACAGTCTGTTGAGTCATGTTGGTCACCACATGCTGAACATGGTTCACTTTCTGGGGCTGTGAGTTGTAAAACATTGGCTTTGGGCTGAGTTCTGTCAGCTTTTAAACTCTTTACTTCATTCATCAGGGCAGCTAGTTGAGCTTCCATGGCAACTTATTTATCCAACTCTAACATGCCTGGTTTCCTGACTAGGTTTATCCTTTCTAGAGGCCACTAAAAAGAGTTCCTGACTGGGTTTATCCTTTGGGCTTATCCAACGTTCTACAGTGCTTTCTATGATTTCATATCTGGATTCAAGAGTTCTTGAAAAGAAATATCCTCCTACAACAAAATCTAAGTGAGATTGAGAAGTATGGTCAATTCCGTTATAGAAAGTCTGCAAGACTCCCCATTTTTCTACCCTATGGTTAGGACATTTCCTGATAATGTCTTTGTATTTCTCCCATGCTTCATAGAGATTTTCTCCACAAAACATTCTGAAGCTAGAGATTTCAGCTCTTACATAAGCTTGACGGGACATAGGAAGGAACTTCTCTATAAACTTATCAGAGAGTTCTTCCCATGAGTGTATGGATCCAGAGGTGAGGGATTTCATCCAAACTTTGGTTTTTGATCCCAGAGAGTGAGGGAACAACCTTATTCTTATACTTTCTTCTGACACTCCATCTGTTCTAAAATTGTCACAAATATCTTGGAAATTATTAAGGTTAATGTATGGATCTTCTGCAGAAAGTCCATTGAAAACTCCAGCCTCCCTAATCATATTAAACATGATGGGCTTTAGCTCAAAGTTAGGAGCTTTAACATGAGGTAGAATCACTCCTCTTTCTGGTCTGTTCCTTGAACGAGCAGCCAGTGCTCTGAAGTTTTGTTCAGGAGGAATCTCTTCATTGTTATGATTATTATGATCAGCTATTTATGGTTCAAGTTTATTTTCCCTAAGATTTCTTCTTCTTCTGCGAAAAGTGCATTCTAGTTCAGGATCAAAGAAAAATTCAGGTATCTCAGTGTGAGGGTAAGAATCAGTATCAAATTCTTCTCTCATAAACCACAAAGCTTAAACAATATGAACAACAATGTAAATATTAAAGAATAAAGAATGATATATTAACAAAATATATACTAAAATAGTTTTAAGGACAAAATTTAGTGTAGACTATCCCCGGCAACGACGCCAAAAACTTGTTGGGTGCTGATGCTCTTTAAGGACGTTCCCTTTACTTAGTCCATCAAGAGAAAATGCATTCGTTCTCTAGATATCAACCCAATCGCGCAAGTGCACGCATCAAGTAATAAGTGAGATTATTAGTGCCCAAGTTATTGTTCCCATGAAGATAGAACTCTAAATAATACCTTAAACAATTTTGAAAAGAATTATAAATATAAGAAAAAATAGTATTTGAATTGTTTGGTCTTTCATTCCCTCCTGTCTTGTGGACGTTCCCTCAAGGTGGTAGGTTTAGATTGACTCTGAATAACTCCTCGCGTCATTATGTATTAAATCCTTCTTGATGTAAGAAGGAACGACAAAATTCATTGGAGGTTTGGTTATATTGTCACAAGATATTCAATACTGAAAACCCAAAGATAACAATATTTAAGAGACAACAAGATGGGTGGATAATATAAATAGTTTTTTAATACAAGGAACGGATCCACAGTTCCATTCTTAAATAGCTATACTCTCAACTTAAGATTTAACCCTTCTGAATTTGTTCAGGTCTTTTCACTGCCAACTCTGATTTCTCAGCTCATGGACTAAATTTCCTCACAAGTTTTCATATCCCTATGGTTCCCTTGACTTAAACGGTTACTATGTTCAGAACCTTCAGAGAATGAGGTGGCTCCTTATTCCAAAGGCAACCAGTAGGATTGTTTCCGCAGTCCTACTTTCCTCCCATGATTAAGCTGTCTGAAATTTCTTCCTTAAGAAAGTTCCTTTCACAGTTTGAGTTCAATTTCCATTGAGACCCAAAGAGTTAAGTTTACTTAAATAACAGAAATACAAAAGCTTCAGTGCAAAAGTTTTGAGCATAGTTCTTTAAGAACTTCACAGCTTTTCCATTCCAAAAAATAACTTAGCCCATGGCTGAAAACATAAACATAATTATTTCAACCTGAAATCTCATAGACTCGAGATTCAGTTTGAAGATAACGAGTGGAAGAGAAGAGAAAAAACAAACATATATTAATAGGAAAGAGATTTATGTTAAAAAGAAATAAAATGGAGAAGTCTGGATAATGCTCGTGAGGAGTCTCAAATGGTGAAAAGGAAATGGAGACAGAGTTGTTGTCACTTATCAATTGCTAAAACTATACAAATAAAAAATAACAACTTAAACTATTCTAAATGATCTCTTCTTAAGGAATTCGATGCTTGCTTCGTGTTGGAACGTCCTATTTATAGGCTAGAAGAGTGGATGACAGTCTTGTGATTCTGCCTCAGTTGTTCCTTGATTGCATGAAAAGGCGGTGCAACAGTAATCAGATATGTGAAGTAAGTTGTTTGGATGGGACAACTTAAGGTTGAGATTTGCCTTTTTCTTCTGAATCTCCCATGCTTGCTTTTCCTCTAACATAATGGTTGCTCTTTATTCTCTCTTGTACATGTTTCTTCCTTCTTGATTGTTGTACTTCTTTTTACTTTTTGGGAGCTTCTTTTCAACGTTTCCAGCAAGGTGATCAGAGAGAGGGTTAGTGGAGCAGATGTGTAAATAAGTCAAACCGTTCATCTTTTTTGGTATTATCAACTGATTAGATCATTATCTGTTCCCTTCTGGTGCTTTTGTTCTCAGGTTCTGAGAACGTGTTTTTAAGGCAAAAAAAGTCACCAGTTGAAGGAACGGATGGAATTTTATCATAAAAAATGGGATTAAATGAGAACGAGTTTGTGTCCCATCAAATATCCCAAAACTAAACTGTTGTTTGTCGTTAAACAACTCAGAAGTAGTTACTTAGCTGCTCAATTTCAAAGAAAAGTTCAACATTACAAGTTTAATAAATGAGAAAGACAACTGTATTCAAAAATAAATTCTATTTCATAGATTTTAGAGTAAGAAAGAATTCATTCCAAGGTAAGTGAAGGTTATTGATCTCCCATCTCACTGATCACTCTAGTTTGGTGTTTCTCTGTATGTTCCTAGGTATGATTCTTCAGACTTGATTATCTGCTGCTTTCCTATTAGGCACTGGTGTTTTCCAATCTAAGGGACTTTGTTCATGGATAAGTAAGGGGACTGGAATGAAAAGGTGATGTATGAAAAGTCATTGGTCTTAGATCAAGGAATGTATGCATTTGTTCTTTTGCTGAGAGTTGTTTTTGCTGGGAATGTTATTTCTTTGTTTGACTTCTTTTCTTATAAAACGTGTAATCATGTCTCTAATTGACTCTTTTGTTTCGTGGTAAATAATTCATATTGATGCATTAAGAGATCAATTTTAGATTACTTTACCTCATTGGTTCCTTCATGAATTACCTCTAGGAGATCCCACATTTGCTTAGCGGTTTTGCATCCCATTACCCGGTTGAACTCTTGTGTTCCAAGGCCACAGTGAAGAATTTTCTTGGCTTGTGCATTGAATTCTAGCTTTCTCCTATCTCCATCAGTGTATTCAACAGTGGGCTTGGGAATAATTTTTTCGTTTTCATCTTTCTTTGTGATCTGGAAGTCTCTGTTTTCAATCACGTTTCAAACTTGATAGTTGTCAGCTTTGATGAAAATCTCCATTCTGTTCTTCCAGTAATTGTAGAACTTTCCTTCAAATAGAGGAGGTCTTTGTGTAGAGAATCATTCCTTGATACTTTCCATTGGGTTTATCTTGAGATCTACTCTTCAGAAGTTACCTGCACATATAAGAGAACACAACTCTGGTACCAATTGTTGGTCCCAGATGAACTCAAGAGGGGGGTGAATTGAGGTTTATAAAAATAATTTGCTAATTAAAAATTAACTCAAAGCAATAAATCAAGATAAGGATAGAGAGATATTAACACAATAGTTTTTACGTGGAAAACCCAAAAGAGAAGAAAAACCACACGGGCCCTAAAATCGAATACTGAAATTCGACGGGCAACTCCACTATGAAACTTGTGTACAAAGAGTTCTCTAGTATCCTAGATTCCTAGTCTACCCCTTACACAAATTCCCAAACGGTATCCTAGTTTTTCAGTACGAAATCCTAACCCTTTAGAATTATGAAACCCTATTACACAAAGGTTCTCAACATACTCTCAATTTCCAAGAAAAAGAGACATGTTGGTATCCCAGTTTCCCAGCACAAGAACTGGTATGCAAGTTTTCCAATACAGACCTTCAAAAAGGTCAAGAAAAAATTACAATTAAAATATTTACCTCGGTGCTTCTTTTCCTTAAGCATATAGGTAATATGAATTTCTATGGAGAAATATTCACTTTGCCAAAGGATGAATGTATGAATGAATGTTCTTGAGAAAGCTCTTCAATTGATGCACAAGAAAGAATTTTAATCTTGAAAATCTAATTCTCTCTTTTCTTTCTTGTATATTCTTCTCTCTTCTCTCTCTTGTATTTTCTCCACTATGAAATAATATGCAATGAGCCCTATTTATAATAATAACATCTTAATCTATTATGCAATGCAATCGTAATCAAATCTTTGACAAAGAATATTTTATTTCTCTTACATGAAATCTAAAAAAATAAAATGTATCCTAATCTTTACTTGACTCCATGCTTTTCTATCTCTTCATGATATCTTCTCCAATCTTCATGCAATCTTCAATTATCTTGAATACTAATTCAAATCAGAATAAATATTATTCTTAAATCTCAAACAATCAGCTCATTAGTAATTTTAAGACAATAAAATATTATCAATTAAATTAACATTAAATTGATTGTAATCATCAAAACATATTTTAAATAAATTAAACAATTGGGGTATAATAAATATCCAACAATTTCTCCCTTTTTGATGATGACAAACAGTTTATGCCATGTACTAAGAAAAATTAGTTCATCACAGATATAACATGAATGCTCAATGATGATTGCATGAACACTATTCCCTCTGACTTTGTTAAGCTACAACTAAATTATTATTCTCAAAATGTTGCATCCATTTTCCCCCTTTTGGCATCATCGAAAAGATGAAGAGTAAACACTCGAGATAAGGAAGAAAAGTTGTCAAGGTAGCATGAATAGGGAGTAATAGCTTAATAGTGAAAAATAATGAAGAGTAAGAATGTAGAACATGATGAAAGGCAACAAAGGAAAACATTCCAAACCATATACAATAACAATGCAGTAATTTGCCTTTGCACTCAACTTTAGAATCGTTCTTGTTTCTTATTCTCTAAGCTTTCCATAGGCTTGTACTTCATGACTGCTCTTCACTCTTAGTGTTGCAATATTTCATAAGCCACCAAATCAATAGGACTTTAAAGCTTGTGATGTAACAGGTGGATATGAACAAAAATAAAATAGTATCAGGGTAGGTAGAAAATAAATAAGGGATAGTACAGTTATGCA